AATGAAAATTTGTTTACAAATGATTGAAGTTATAAGAATGGCACTGTTAAAATTTAATGACACGAGGGTTCCGAGGAGCCGAGTAATTAATATTGATATTCAGCCAATTTTTACTTTTAGGCTTATGGCCCGTCGTTCTTTTGAGCACTTCTATTGTATTAACCTCGCTTTTTAACAATAAAATGTTGATAAAAATTTTACTAATGATAAAAAAATATCTAATGATTGTATTCAACTTAAAAAAAAAATTTAAGGGTACCAGTCAAACAATTAATTAATAAGCAGGGTAAGAACTACTAAAGGTTATATTTTTACAGGGGAGCTAGAGAGACAGATGACACACCAAACTATAAAGATAGTTGAGTGGACTGAGCGGGGGATAAAACCTCCTTAGTTTAAAAGTCAGATGGTTTACCTGTGTTTCTAGGGAGTCTTGGTTCAATAGGTGAAAACTTACCTGCTACGACATCTTCAAGAAGTAAGATTTATTATTCAACACGCTATAGACTAAAAGAGCCCTGAAATACTAAGCAAGCTTACTCATAAGGTCTCAGGTTTAACGATGATTCTGAGGCTTCAAAAAGTTTAAACAACATTTACATATAATTACAACTTCTTAATCCTCATGGACTTGTTGAAAAGTCCACATTAATAAATGAAAAATCAATCAACTGCTGCACTAACTTGATCAAAATAATTTGTCTTTAATTTTTTCTTTTCTAAAAAATAGTCCTTCACCAATCCCCAACTTGGATATTACCGCAAGTGCTGAACGAAGCTCTCGACGACTATTCCGTAAAAACTAAATACGCAAGAACAAGGATATTCCTACAAGTTATCCACAATACGCACGAAATCGACCGTTCTTCATATCCTCCTTTTCACTTTTCACGGAAAAACTGGCTTATCTTCTATACGATCCCCATCATAATGACCAGCCTCTCTGTTTTTCTTTCATTTTGTCTTGTTTGTTTATTTTTTCCACATTGTTTGCTTCAAAGTACCCACGCGAACAATTGGCTTATTTAAGGAATCGGTCTCGAGAGCTCTTGAACCTTTTATCCCGAGGAAGGGACAATGAAAACGAGCTCAAACGTAAATGGGATGAGATAGTTCCTTGTTTGATCTGAAGCTCTAAAAAACAGTCTTATGAATTTATTTCATTGGATTAAATGCCAATGGACCGGTCGAGGTTTCGTTTTTTGTGGATATTGAGATGCTTGAAGCTAGTTTTAACGGTATCAATAGTGAATATTATAGGGCAGGATATGTTATTGAAGTTTTATTAAGGTCTAGATGCGTCGAACATAATTCATGCTCATTTTTAAAATATAATATTAGTTAAGTTGTATGCACTTTATACGGTCTTCATTATAGCCACTACTTTTGTGATCACTTTTGTTCCCACTTTTGTGATACACTTTCTTAAGAGTGAATAATTTGACTAAATTTTACTTTTTTTTTGCAAACGACCGTAGAACATCTTTGGCGTGCAATTTTTATGTTGTCATCAATCAGATAAATTTTTGTTGATAATTTTTTAAGATAATAAGCAGTAGTTTGGAGAGCTTTATAAAATAGCTTTTCTTAAGAAAATGTTAAATATTACTATTGTAAATCGTTCTCTGCCTCACCCCTCACTGGATCAACGATTACAAATTTCTAAATTGTTCAAACATTTTTTTTGAACTTTTCTAAGGCTATGGTTTAAAGAAAAATCATGAAAGAAGCATTGTTGCACAATTCAATTTGCAACTAAAGAAATTTGCCAAATTAAATTGTACACCAGTGTGGTATATTGACATNATAATAAGCAGTAGTTTGGAGAGCTTTATAAAATAGCTTTTCTTAAGAAAATGTTAAATATTACTATTGTAAATCGTTCTCTGCCTCACCCCTCACTGGATCACCGATTACAAATTTCTAAATTGTTCAAACATTTTTTTTGAACTTTTCTAAGGCAAATAAAAGCATCGAAACAAGAAAACGTTGTGAAACAGGGTAAGTATAGGGATATCAAGCAGTAAATTTCCTTTGTGATGCTGAAGTTAGGATTTATGTTTAAATTATTTTCTATATATTTCTTAAGAAGGTTCAATCCCTCGCTGTAGTCCATGCGGCGCTCTCTATAGTTTGGTATGTCGTCTGTCTTTCTCGCTCTCCTGTGACAACATAACTTTTCGTAGTTTTTAACTCGGTTGTTAATTAATTTCTTCTTTCACTAGTACCCTCGATATGTTAAATAAAATTCAATGAAATCATTAGATAGTTTTTTATCATTGATAAAATTTTCATCTAAAGTTCATTGTTAATAAACGAAGTAAATGCAACAGAAGCGCTCAGAAGGGTGGCACCCATAAGCCTACGTGTAAAAATTAGCTGAATATGAATATAAATTACTTGGCTCCTAAGAACCCCCATACTTTTAAACTCTGATAGTGCCATATTCATGACTTTATTCATTCGTAGATTAATTTTTATCTATTTCTTATTGTTGATTCTGTAATTGATGTAACTCCCTTAAGAGACAGTCAACATCAAAATACTAATTATTGATCGACATTCACATGACGCTTGTTTTAGTTTTACTGCATGAAAACAAAATTTTTTGTTACTTTCATTAAACGAACATTTCTACATTTTGTTTTCCTGGTAACGTCGTAGAAAAAAATAAAATCAAAAGAAAAATAAAACAAATTCAAAAATCAAACCATTAAAAAGAGGGACCAAAAATAAAACGAAATATAGAGACAGTTGAAATGAAAATCACGGCGAAATACTGAAAAACGAGCAGCTTAAAATCGCGCCACGAATGTACCACCAGCGATAACTGGTACTAAATATAAACTTTTATCTTAGAAAATGCGGTACTTACGTCAGGTCATTGATCACAAAAACGAGTCCGTGCATGTGCACTGTCTCTCATTAAATACTCATAAGGTGTAATTTGAAAGACTTTGGGAAAGCTAAATTTAGTTTGTAAAAGCTGGTTTGCTGTCCGACGATGCCCGCGGTTGGTGTGATTTATTGTACAATAGGTACATCTTATGCAAGTTGTTAGTTTTACGGTACTTGAATGTGTTCAACAAGCAATTGCAACTTTTTAGATTTGTTGAGAAGTCTACTTCGATACGAATAACAACTTCGTAAGTGAAATAGAAAACATTCAACTGTTGTATTACAGCTGAATGAAAATAATTTATTCAAACTTTTTTTTCCAAGCCCCGAAAAAAAAGTTCTCCACCAAAGCCTAACTTGGCTATTACCACGAGTGGTGAATTGTTATTCTGTGATGCTTCTTTTATGTATGCATATGCGAGAACAATAATAATCCTACGATCTATCTTCCATAAGCGTATAATATGCACGGAATCGACGGTCTTTTGCATCCTCCTCATTTTCCATAGAAAAACTGGCTTAACTTTTACTAACCTCTCTGTTTTTCTTTCATTTTGTCTTGTTTTGGTTTTTTTTTTTCGCATTGTTTGCTTCAAAGTACACACGCGAATAATCGGCTTATTTAAGCACTTGAACTCAATAAATCTTTGGCTTTCCATTGCGTGGAAGGGATTATAATTTAAAGCTCTAATTTAAATGTGCTGAGATATTATAAGTCCTTGTTTAACCTGAAGCTCTAGGAAAACAGGGTCTTCTGAGTTGGTTAAATTAAATTATATGACAGTAGACCAGCCGATGTTATGTTTTATTTGGGTATTTGAATTTAATGAATGTCTTTTCTCGTAGTTAATTTTTGATACTAAGTATGGAAGATACGTCAAGTATACAACATGCTGAATTAATATTTATTCTTGATGTCAAATTTAATTTCGAAGGATTTGATGAATTTTTCTTACGACTAAAAAATAAATTTTTCTCGTAAAATATACTTTTTACTTTCTTGGAGTTACAATTCTTATCCAGTAGTGAGTGTAGAAGCCACACGTTTTCTTAATACATTACTATTTTATCAAAAATTGTAGAATTGATGAAATAATGCTTTCATTTAAACATAACTAATTGAATTATCATGTATTGAACTTGTCTGCCTGTTTACTCTTCATGAAATTGCTCAAATAGTTGGCTGCAGTAAATCATTAAAAGTACCGATAAAAAAATACAAAACACTTGATATCATCAATATACTTTCTCAAAGTTCTAATGATCGAATGTATCTGGGCACGGCACACAAAGACTTTTACAACTAAATAGTACCTTAATACATAAAGCTATTAGCCCTTTACGACTTTTGACTGAAAATCTTAATATTACAAGTACTAACGGTTCTTGGCCTAATGCCTTTGACTTTATTTTACCACCTGTTTTGACAATTTTTTTTTGTCCCGAGGTTATTGTCTCAACACTTTCATCGGCTATTGTACTGAGTTTGAAAATCAAATCGTCTGGAAGGCTGTCAAGACGTCATCGCGTGACTCACAAAACTTCCGCCCAAGTGGTGCCAGAGTGACATCTCTTTTGAATAGAAAAGAGCTGGGTGATTGAGAAAAGGTACAGTTCGAAACAACAGTATTACTTGATTGAGCGCTTGTTTATTTGCTTAATGTTTTTCATTAAGATTTCCATGAATAAATATTCAAAGCTCATCGTTAAACGTGCTAAACGAGAAAACGGAGGTAGAAATGCCTTTACTTATCATATAGTATCAAAAATTTTGGGAATTGAACGAAAATAATAATACAACATGAAAAACTCAAAATAATTCATAGTAAAAGTACAGGAAATATAATTTCCGACTCATTATTATGAAAAAAGATGAGATCCATAAACTGCTCATCATACTCCAGCAAATGATGAGAACATGTCCGTGTAATACAGAAGATTCAAAAAATATTTTCAAACGATCGGGTCTCATTTTTATATTTCTATTTATCTTACATAATTTGACAATATTTTTTTTTATAGAAATTCAAAACATGTTTACTTGTCACTTGAACTGTTAATTATATTAGTAAGCCACCTTCACCTGATCTGTCCCACAAAATATGGAGCAAGTTGACAGCAGTTTAACAAATCGTAAGTTCAACTAACAGCACATTCAAATGCGCTTCATCCCAATAAATTTAACACTAGCTATTTGAACCAATATCCTTATACTTAACTCTGTTTGGATTAAACTTTCTATCAACAATGTAATTACTAAAACCGCATGACCCTATTGTAGAGCTTAATAATATTATGTTTATTATTTACAACATTTTTAAAAATATTATTGATAATTCCATATTCCCGACTGTGAAATAACAAAAACAAATGTTTAGTATTTTGCAACATTATCAGTTTCCAAAAAATTGTAAGTGAATTCTTTGACACTATGAGTTGCAAGACTCAGCGTTTGAAGTCCAAGCATTAGTTGGGAGGTTGATCGATTTACCTGAAAATCGCACTATTGATCGCAAATATCGTCCGCAATTATGTCTAACCCCTGGTTTTTTCGCTATGAAAGCCTTTAAAGACTTAGTAAAGCTTATTTAAAAAAAAAAAAAATCCCAATTTGAATCTCAAATGATGCAAGCAGCGAAATCTGAATTGTATGTCGATATAGTAAGTAAGTATTATTATTTTAATTAAATACTGTTTTCATATTTATAATGTACCTTAATTTCGTAACTCTGATAGTTTGTCCCACATCAACTCTACGAGTACGTTTACTAAGTTTTTTTATTAAATTGTATTTGTCTTTCCACCATATAGCCATTATCTTTATATGATGTCATAAGGTTTTTTTTGGCAGAGATAGTCACTCTGTCAGCCAGTGTAAGACCACCAGTATACAACATCGACAGTTAATAACAGTTACAGACACTGCCAAGTTTTTGTATACTTACTTATGTGTTATGAATAACATTGGTAAAACCAAATTGAGTTCCTGAACACTCTAGCATTGTGAACAGAACCTAGAAATCTAAATTCACAAGGTCTATCTATTCTGACGTGGGTTCTAGGTGCAAAAGCAATAACATCTGGTAAGCTACAATTCTTTAAATAATAGATTTGTTCGATTAAGAGGTTCCGAGCGCTCCGAGCGCTCCAAGTGTACGTGACTCAGGCCGCCTGTGGATAGCCGTGTAAGATCGAGCTCAACCTAATCACGAGTAAACAAACGGTTTTTTTGTTTTGATTGCACAGTTAGAAGGTTTTCTATTGTTTATCATGACACCGGAAAATGTTGGTATTACATGAATGTTACAAAATATCAAATTTATATGGGAATATGAAACTAATTGTATGTTATCGAATTTTCAAAGGAAAATTTGCGTTCTGAGATTCAGCAAAGAAAAAGAGAGCGATTATCATCAACATCTTCATCATCGTCTTCTTCATTGAGGTCATCAAAATCTCTTTCATCAAGTGGCTCAGATAATTCTTTGTTTTTTTTTGGTTTTTCTAAATTAGAGTTTGACAGTCAAGATGAAGATGAAGGAATCGTGCCGAAAAAGAGAGTTTGCATACAGAATTTTTGTGAAAAAACAGTACAAGAGTATAGTGATAAAGAGTTCCTTCATCATTTTCAGTTAGACAGAAACACTGTCAATTTTTTAATCCAGGAATATTCAGAATCTGAATATTACAAAGGTTTTGTCAAAGGTAAATAATGAGTTTGCTAAAATAGTCCCTTATCTTATGGTTCAATTGAATTTTACAGGAAAACCAGAAATAGTGGCCTATAAACAAATGTATGTTTTTTTATAAAGTGTATATACATAGTGGGCCACAGAAAGTGAATTGTCTCTGAGTAAGAGGCATTACAAAGACAAATGCGGTTTACCGAACATTGTGGAAATCATTGATGGAACAAACTTTAAAATAGACAGACCATCAGTGAGCCAACAAAGTTACTACAACCGAAAATGCTACTTTTCCATTCAAGGACAATTTGTTTGTGACCAAGATCTTAGGATTTTAGATTTTGTTCTTGGGTATCCAGGAAGTGTCCACGACTCAAGGGTTTTCAGAAACTCCCCTCTCTACAGGAGAATGGTCGAAGAAGGAATAGGTATGACAGAAATTATGGAATAATACAACTGATGATTATCTTATATAATTTATATTCTACTTGACAGGAGGTTGTTTATTGGGGGATGCTGCCTATCCCTGTCGCCCAGACCTTCTTGTGCCTTACAAGAATAATGGTCACATGAAACCATGTGATCGACGATTTAACAAGGCTCTATCAAAAGCTAGAGTTGGCATTGAGCACACTATTTGATTGCTTAAGCAGAGGTTAGCCCTGCATAAATTTAGTACAGTATCATTTGAATATAAAAAAATGTACACGTGCATATAAGAATAATATCGTGTAGATTTCAACTTATGTATCATATTCGGCTGAATCCTGGAATGAGAAGGCTCAAAGTTATTCGAGCATGCGTTGTTTTACACAATATGGCACTGAAGAAAAATGTAGAACATCTAGAGTTTTCTGCAGACAGCGAAAGTGCGGTAAGAGTCTGTGAGGAGTATCAAAATGATCAACCCCTTGAGAAATCATCAGATTATTCTGGGTCTGAATATTTTTTTGCTGATGAATTTGCTTCAAGGCGAATGCTCACTGAAAAATTAAACTGATATCTTATCTTATCTTACTAATATATAAAGCAAAGTCGCTAAAAAAGTTGTAATCGCTAACTGCGAAAACTATTAAACCGATTTTGCTGAAATTTTGCATACCGATTCTTGACAATTTCTAAATGGTTTTAGTATAAATTGAATCTTAAAAAATTTGATAACAATAGCAATAAATAAGCTCAAAGTTTCGCAAAATTACGCCAGCTTTTCACGTTAGTTCAGTAGGATGTGCTAGGTGGCGTCGACGTAAAATCGAAGCTACCTGCAACATAATTATATAAGTGTGGTTAAAATACTCCGAAGAGTCTCAAACCTTTCTGCGGTCGTCTACCGTCGAGCTGCATCGAGAAAATATAGACGACAGTCGTCTAGCTGGGCATCCCGGTTACCGACGACACTCTTCTCCAATACGCAAGTGACCTAAGCCTACTTTCACCCTGAATCTCCAGGATTGACGAGTGTCATCAATAAAAAAATTTATTCTAACCGATGACTTCCGCGGTGGAATACCAGAAAACGTGTCTAGCCAGAGCACATCCTGCTCCAACACTTCAGAGTTATGTGGCCGTACCACTATCTGGCCTGGTGCCGTCAGAGAATTTTTTTACTACAAATGTAAGCCAGGGAAAGACAGCCCTCAATTTAGCCCAGTATTTACGTTCATTACTTGACCTTCGATCTCATCGATTTTTTTAAGGGTCACCTAAGTTTAAACTACCTTGCCAATGAATGCATTTTTACTACTATTTCCGGAAACATTATTCGTCGACAAAAAGACTACGTAAAGCTGGCCACTATTAAACCAAGTCAGTCATTCACTGGCAGACGTCACGAGCAGAGTTGTTCGTCGTAAGTCTGGGAAATTCGGTGACCAACGATCCTATATTACCCTCTCGACTCTAAGCATTCAACCAGGAATCACCGATCCTCTCCAAGATCTGCACTAGGTGAACCTAACAGCTATGAAGAAAAAAAAACTTGAGCCAACGGGAGTCTCCAACGGGCAAGCATCACAAACCAATCTCTACTAATCTCTCCACCTTATATTATCAAAACAACTGAATCTGCAAAAAAAAGGTGCTTTAGACACCAACGTCTTCGACGTTATACCAGGAGACGTTGGGAAAAGAGCACTACAACTAGCCCCAAAGCTTCGGACTTTGTAATTTTTCTCCCAATCAGTCCGGGTCTTCAACAGCAGGCCAGAGAAGATCACTCTGAGGTATCCAGGCAGTCACAATTGCTGTATACTTCAGTCAAGAAAGAGTTTACTTAAGAAGCTCACCAGTCTTTTTTAGGGCCATCGGACGTTAAACTACCTTGCCAACAAATATATCAGAACTTAACAAAGTTGACAGAAAATAGCCTTTAGGGGCCACAAAAGTCGCAAGAGGGTGAATTGGAAGGAAAACTTCAAATGTATATAATGAATACAATTTTAGGCGTCAAGAAACTGACGCAGAAAATTTATCGAGATTGGAACAGCAGCCTCAAAATCGACAAATAAATAATTCATTACGTGAGAGATCAGCTTTTCATTTTACCCTCACAGTAATCCCTTAAATCTTTACAGATCTAAATTCAGGTTTTTAAATAAGAAGAAAATATATTTGTATTTTTGTGGCAATATAAAATGTAGAGATTAAGCTCCAGGACTTTGTTGCTCTGGTAATAAATTTGTAAGATAAGAGAAAAAAAATTTTTTTTAATACATATTTTTGGGAGTTAAAAATCTCAACATCTTTAAAAACTAGCCCTTTTCGTAAAGTACATGAGAGAAACTGCAAATCAACCGATCCTTATGGCTAACGATTATTTTATGGCATAAGGAACGCACGGTACTTTTTGTAACACTGCTTCTTGACCTGAAATAAAACGAGGCACCGACGCAGCGTTAGTAAGTCTCGATCGCGTTCGTCACCGTTGTCTCTCTTACCTCTTGTGTTTCTGCTCCTGAAAAAGGGGGATAGGCGCGGGAGTTCTCCCGTTCTACGGGAAGACCTATTAATTTACACACAACAAATTATTACCTTTCACACTTTATACACAGTCTCCCTCTCTTCACAATACACGACACAATTCTTCACCTCGTCTTCTGGACGGCGCTGCAGCGACTTCGCCTCGCACCCCGCGAGCCACGAGCGCTCGTCCACCACGTCCTGCTCGTCCAGGACCAGGAGGGGCTCCTACTCGTCCTCGACCCACACTACTACGCACACACTCACACTCCGTCCCCAATCTCTCACACTGCTATACACTCTCTCTCTCTACTATACTATCTACCCTAATACACGACAACACGCATGAAAAATGGCGGCCCTCCCATGCACCTCGTGGTCTCTCGTACACCTCGTCTCGTCAACCCAAACTCTTTCTCACTCTCTCTCGCACTGTCTACGCTATAATCTCTCTCTCTCTCTCGCACTGTCTACGCTACACACTACTTCTCTCTCTCTCTCTAGCCTCACCTCCTGGTCAAACGTCCGCGAGTACAACCTGGCGTGATGTCGTCCGGTGTCCTCGAGCGGATTGTTCGTCCTGCGGCTTCACCTTTTCTCTTCTCTCTCTTTCAACTCTTCTCTCTCTGCTTCTTCTCTCAGCGGCCGTAGTCCTCGACCTGAAGACCTCGTCGTCCGGGAAGAACACAGCAGCTTCTCGTCTCGCACGCACACTCCTCTCTCTTCTCTCAACACTCAACGCACCTTCTCGAAAACTCTCTCTCTCTCAACTCTCGCGACGAAATCCCGCAAAACCACCGAAGCTCTCGCTGCTCGTGCTTAAGCGTGCAGCTCGAGGCTCTACCTACTCCAGACTCACTCAAGATCTCTTGCTCAAGCAATGGCCGCCGCCACTGCCGCCGCCACGTATCTCTCCTCTCGCAGTCACTCTCATACATAGCAGCTGCTGTGTCTCGGTAGTCGTGTTCGCACTTTCCTTGTCCTTTTCTGCTGGCGCTGCTGTGTCTCTGCATTTCAGCTGTTTGTCCGTTGGCGTCTTCGTCCCCTCCTCTCAGCGTGTATACAGCTCCCGAAAAACAATCAGTTCGGAGAAGCGTCAAATTAATGCTCTTTGTATACACGTTGCATCAGCGAGAGCATTTTGGAATATAGAGGCCATTTTGCCTCGTTACATTTTCAGCATAATTATATTTTTTTATTTTTACAGCTTATTATTTGACCAAATAAACGGTATAATTTGCAAACAAATATGTTTTTAGTAAGAAGATTTTTGTTCTAAGAAGTGTCAAAAATAAATGTAAAATTTCTAACTGAAAACGTTTCACATTTCATGTCAACACACCACGGTGTTCCATTTAGTAAGTGTCGGACAAAGCTGAGACAGGGGGCCGCTAGTGTATTAAAATTTATTTTATTTTTTACATCGTAAAAATTTTTTTAGAATGTTTGCAATAAATGAAGTAAATAAAAAATATAAAGTGTGAACCATGAACAATCATGGTTCAATGAGATCTTTAAGAACACAAATATTCTTACATGTAGATTAATAGTACTTTTAGCAATACGGTATTAAAATACATAAAAAAAAAAAGAAATTATCACTTACATTTTTGAAAGTTAAGCAAATAATTAATTATTAAGCTAGTTATAACTTACAATCACATTGTAAAAAAGGAGCTCTATTAAACACAATTTTTTCATAATCATACGTTAAAAGTAGTAATTTGCATTAATAAATATTTTACAATTTTTTTACAATTTTACTTCTTGAACCACTAATTTTTATAATTTAGAATCTTTATAATTATAATTGATTTTCTATCTTAAATCACAGAACAGTGACCTTTTTTATGTGTTTCTTATTTGACTGCTCATACTTATTGCAGATTTATTCGATTAAGATGTTCAGAGTGCTCTAATCAATCAAAAAGCCGTTGAGATACATATTCGTATTTGTTATACTGGCCATAAATCGGTGTACGAAAACACCTTAATTACTTTGAAATTACTTAGAATGCTACAAACACCTTGATCAAACGAATGTAATACTTGGGGCTCTATCACGACTTTCGATATCTCGCAAAAGTCAGTTTTTTTTTCGATAATTCTTATACTGTGCATGCGCACAACCATAATTTTATGTAAATTATCGAAAAAAATACTGACTTTTGAGAGATATCGAAGGTCGTGATAGAGCCCTTGGCTACAGAAAAAGACACTTCGAGTTACTCTGAACACCTTCATCAAACAAATCTACTCTGTATCTCCGTCAGATTCTACACTAACTTTGTACTTAATTCTTTTAACTTTAATTTTTTTTCTTCAATTGCTAATTTTTTAGACTGTAATTGTAAAAAAGCATCTTGTCTGGTTAGCAGCTCCTGGTGTCTACGTTTTTTTATAGACTCTTGTGATTCAGTAAGATTGATGTTGACTGGGGTTCGTTTAACTTTTTTATTTTGTACTTTGTTATTATTGTCATTATTCCTAAAAATCTATATAAAGAGAAGTAAAAATGTATATAATTTTATGTTATGAAATTTATGACTTACTCATCTATAGAGTCATCCAAAAAATTCGTTGATTCCTCTTCATCTAAGGATTACTCCCAATCTTGAGTGAGAAGATGAGGGGGATGGACTGCATGTTTCTTACCGAAAAGATCTTGTAGTTCACTAGCAAG